TCAGTGTTTGTGGCGTTGGGTTGACGTTGTAGACTGAAAGGCTAAGGGTTGAGTATGTTCAGTGTTTGAGGCATTCTTGCGCGGTGTAACTTGAAGGGTTGAAGGGTGTTGTTTCCCCTGAATTCCCCACAGAAACTCTTCAACTCCAGACCCTTTATCTAAAAACCCTCCATGGCAAGCATCCATTCCGAGTCCTCAGGCCCAAAGCCTTACATTTCAAACCTTCAACCCCAAACCCTAAAACCAAAAACCATAACATGTGCGGGTTGTCCTTATAAAAAACTGTAGTTCGAGCTCCTCCACTCTGGTTCCTATTGCAATCCCATGTGCACCCCAAAACGCAAGAGAGCCTTTGGCCGAGGCTGCTGTGCGTAAACAGCGCCGATGATGTGGCCAAGGGCCCAGTTGCATGTTGTGCTACAGGTGTCATGGGGTTCCCCGAAGCTGTCCTTTTGAGGCCATTTTTCGGGCCTGGACCACCAAGGGCTCTGACGTAGCCACCAAGTAAAGTATGGTGGGTTGAAGGGAAACTCCTGCTAGGTAAGAAGGTCAGAAATTTTTAGAATCTATACTTGGCTGGCAATGACCTCCATGAGCAGGAAGGGTCTTTCACAAGAAAAGTACGCCCTCAAAACCAGAAGCCTACAAAACCGTAAACTCTGACGGCCCAGAACTAAGGGAAGGAACTCTACTATATCAGAGAGATGCCTCTGATCCCTTTAGAGCGAAACCTTGCGACCCGCGAACAAGCCAGGCCCCAAACCCAGAAAATCTCAACGCTGTCGTGTCTAAGGACTGGCTGGTGGAAAAGTTCAACCTGGACCTGTCCCTGGACGGACGCACAGAGGCAAGGAGCACTTCCCGGGCATGACCATCACCTATCTTTCGTTGTATCAAGGGATGCCTGTGATTTCATGTGTTGTTTGCCTGAGCTGAAGCTGTGGACCCTCCACCAAGTCGGAGCCTGGCGCAACTTGTAGGCAGCTGCAAGAAACAAACACTTGTCTCTGGGTCCGGTGGTGCTGTTTCCTGTTTCCAGGTCGCGGAGAAGACGGACCTGGCATCATCACGAAGGCCCAAGGTCTTCAAGCTGGTGACGGAGGGCAAGGCCTGTGTGGTCTGCGTCTACGAGAAGGGCGGCCAGACCTTCCAGGAGTTCGGCCCTGTGATCCTGGCCTCAGGCGCACGGTGCGAGGGGGGGTTTGTGTCGTTTGCTGCTTTAGACACGGCCTGTTTTGCGTAGGCGGCTTTGGCGAGGACTTCACCCAGAACTCGCTGCTGGCCAAGCACCGGCCGGGGCTGCTGCGCCTGCCCACCACCAACGGCAAGCACTGCACCGGCGACGGCATCAAGATGGGCGAGGAGACCGGCGCGAAGAGCGTCGACCTCGAGTGGGTGCAGGTCCACCCCACGGGCCTCGCGAAGCCCGACGACGCCCACGCCAAGATCAAGTTCCTCGCCGCCGAGGCCGCCGCAGGGGGGAACGTTGCCATGGCAGATGTTGCAGCATTTGCCGTGTTTGCTTTGGAGCGCGCTGCACCGCGGCTCCGCCCGCCCGTCCCTGCCTGCTTCCTGAGGCCCTCCGCGGCGTGGGCGGCATCATACTGAACGCCGAGAGCAAGCGCTTCTGCAACGAGCTGGGCCGCCGGGGCCTCATGCGTTGACTGTGCAGAAACATGCCACCGTTGCGCGCGCCAAAACGTGTTCGGTCTGTACAGGCCGCGACTATGTCACCGGCGAGATGTGGAAGAGCAAACCGCCCTTCAGGCGAGCACTCGGCGACTGCACCTGTGTTTCTTGCCTGGCGACTCTGCCTCCGGTTGCAGGCTTTGCCTCAACAAGGCCGCCTTTGACGAGATCAACTGGCACTGCAAGCCCGGCACTCGGCGCCACGCGTTCAAGCCATCTCCTCCTGCGACTATTCTGCGGCCGCTCATGCAAAAGCGGCACCGACGCAGGCGCTACACCGGGCGTGGCGTGCGGCGCTGAGTCGGCAGCACGACAGCAAAGGTGTTCAGAAGTCTCTTTCGCAGGCTTTCCCCCCTTCTTTGCGCTTTGTGCGCTGGGAGCTTGGCTTCGGAAAATATTTGTTTCTGCTTGACCTTATTTTCCTTTGGTGGAGGTGCGGAGGATTCAGAGCATCAGCTACAGCAATTGGATCTGAATGATTTCCCGATGCTACGACCGCTTGGCCGCACATGTCGAGCCTCAGATCAAGCAGCTCGGATGAGATAATGCACGTCGCTGCATCGTCTGTATGTCAAGTTTGTTGAGTTACCGATTCTGCAGCCGTCGCCACTACTACAAGGCCCTGTTCGATGGAGACGGACAACGGGCCCGTGCAGTCATGGCTGCTACAGTCTTGGCGAATGAGATGACAGTCGTCGACGCGACCAACCACGTGGACCTCCCGGAGATGAACTTCGACCGATTCGGTGTTACGATGCTACTCACGGTCTTCGTCGACCTGCAGTGGGCTATCAACCTCCTGGTCATCCTCATTGCCTTCGGCTTCGTCTGGAATTGGTGGAAGAGTTCGACTATGACAACGCAGACAACACAACCTCGAACACGCCAACGTCAACGACCTCATCCTCTACCTCCTGGCAATCACCAGCGAGTCCGACCTCTACGAGCGCAGCAAGACTACGAGTGTCAACGAGCCCCGGGACCGTCTCAAGGACAACAACGGCACAAATTCAAACCACAGGCATGCGGCCAGACATTGAGATTGGGTACCTTAAAGACCATGGTGCACGAGCGGGATTCCAGCATTGAAGTGCTGACCCACTACAATGTCGAGTTGCAAGCGGAAATTCGCGGAATGTCTGAAAGATTCAAGGAGACCAAAGATGAGCTCAACAATCTGCGGCGAGACTTCGAAGAAACAAACCAAAGGTTGGAGCAAGCGCAACGGCAAAACTTCAATCGAGGAACACTACGCGAGCAACCCACACGTGCCACAGTTGGCATTCAAGGCCCTTGCACTTATACGCGATGGAACAGCCACCCGCGCTTCACACCAATGCGGGAATCCGAATGGGGTGCTTGGACTGTGCGGTGAGATAAAATGAGTTCGCTCAACGAGCATGCGATGATCTCTTTGGCTCCGGGACTTCGCGTTGCATTCTTGTAGTTTTCCTTCCGTGTCAGTGTGAGCTGACGCATACACGTTGCATGCACAGGCTATCCATCTGTCTAAGCAGTTGAGCATGTGCAACAGTTGTTGCCGTTAACCTCTCGGCCCAATAAGGGGCCCCTTGAGTCGCAAGAGGCTCGACACTTTCAGCTAATTGCGAGAAAACATTCACTGCGCGTTCATCCGCTTTAGCAGCTGGAGGACTTCGAGTGATTCGAGTGCCTTTAGCTGTCTTTGCCAGTGCCCTTTTGATGTTTGTCAGTCGGAGGAGGCGGAAGTAATCCTGATACTAGGCAAAACCTGATCAGGTGCACCAGTTCTGCACCTATTCAAGAAACCAATGCTTGGCGGGAACCACACGGCGCCTGTAGCCAAAATTACAGCAAGCTGGGCTCGCGGCATTGGTTGCAGGAGTGTTGTAAGTGTGGGTCGCGATGGGTATTGGGCACTCAGTGCTACCTTCTGCCCAGGCACCCTGACACGAAGGCGTCCTGTGCATGAGTCTTGTTGCGCAGCTTAAGCTTGCCTCAAGCCGACGCACATACAAGGTTGCTGCAGAGTGCATCAGGGAAGGACCTAGGCTTGTCTAGGTCATGCCACCCTGGAACTCAGCACTTGTTTCATGACAGCAACAGTAGATCCTATACTGCAAGCACCAGAAAGATTTTGCAAACGAGCTAGCTTAGGCAGCACTTGTCGAACTTAATTTCGCCGAGCCCGTGTATCCAGATGTCGGCTGGTGTTCGCAGGGCTGACTGCATCTCGGCCACAAGTTGCCACACAGCTGAACACGCAGCGCGTGTGCAGACAAACTTAGCGGCGAGCGTGGGAAGTCGTAATGCGGAATATTGTAGAGAATGCATACAGCATCACAGAGCTGATAGTTTTGACAAGTTGTCAAAAACTGAAAGAATCGCTTCTTCATTTTCTTCCTTGAGCGCTGCCACTGCAGGCTGCGAGCATGGTCTGCAAAGATGAGGCTTGCGTCAGCGGCCTGCACGTGCCCCATGTGTCTCCCATGATCTTGCAGCGGATCTTGACGGTGAGGTAATGTTGGACATGGCAAGGGCCTTCGGGTTGCACGTCATGCTGTCAAGATTTCCTCTTTTTTCACGTGTCACTTCGATGAAAAAACGCGCGTGCAGTGCAGGCCTCACAGCCTCGCAGGTCCTGAGTCGTGTGAGGTCAGTCGACACACCCGGGCCAGCATGCTGCCTGTAATCGAAAGCCTTGATCGAAGTTCTGACCTTCAGCCATCTGCGCTCCGCCGCCCAAAGGCAGGACGCGAGACAAACCGCTGAAGACTTGCTAAGCTGACGCCAGTTGTTCAATGCCCAGCGCTTTCTTGTCAATGGACCTTGTAAGTCTGTAGGCGCGGGCATCTAGGAATCTAGGCTGTCAATTTGTGCCGTCATGCCTTCGTGCTGCTTGCCCCTGTCCGAGAATCTTGTGCAGAATCTTGCGCTATGTCTTGCCGGACCTTAGCTAAAAAGCGGTTTGTTTCTCACTTGCCCACTGGAGCCACGTGCGGCGCCGAGTAGCGGCGACTTCGAGGGCATGCGAGCCACCGCTCGCTGAGTGGCTGAGCACTGTTCTGGACAAGCCCAGCTGGGCTGTGAAGAGCTTGGATGACAGTTACCTCAGCGGCATGTGCGGTCATTCTGTCGCCCGGACACCACGCCGTGTGCGGAAGTGAATGTTCCATGTTGCTTCAGGGCCCGGATGCACCACAGCAGCACTCACAAATGTTGACCGCGAGGTGATGTTGGAGGTTGCAGATGCCATTGGGTCGCACAAGGTTGCACACCGCGCAGTCATGAGGCATCTCTTAGACGAGAACACAGCCCGGCGCGACTGGCAGTCACAGCAGTGCATGTCCGAAGCTGTGTGAGATCACTTGACTTGCCAGAGCCCCACAAAGAGACTTAATGTCGATAGTTTCCTGAAACCGACACGTTTTTTTCGGAAATGCCCTGTGCCTTCTCCAGGCGTTATAAGGAAGATCTGCACAGCCGCAAACATCTTGTGGGGCAATGTGCGGCATGCTGACGCCTGCAAGCTAGGCAAAGTATGCTTGGGTCCGATCCAATAAGCTTTGCGCCAGCAGGCCGCGCCTTGTCTTGGAAGTGAGCGTTGAGCATCTCCATGAGCAAGCCGCGGAGGAGCCGGCAGAAGCACCGTAGCACCTGGCCCTCCATGGTGCCACTGCAATCAGGCTGACGCCTCTTGCAGAATGCGAGCAGGGCGTGGTCCGGCATGGCCAGAAGAAAGCAGCCAGGGAGGAAGGGAGAAGGTCCTGAAGCTGCAGGTCGGAGACCTTCGACAAAAAACAGTGGGGGTGGCCGCGCGAGGCCTCAAATAAAGCTCCTTCGAGCCGCCGAGTTCGGAGGCAAGCCAGGCTCAAAACATCCACCTTCAGTCGCCAAGCCTTGAAGGGCTCAAGGAAGCCAAAACCGCCCACATCGATCACCACTGTGTCCACCAAATCTGACAGGCTGTTCTCCAAGCTCTGCTGGGACCGCTGCAAGAAAAACCCTGGAGGCGAAGAGCATCTTGCCTTGATGCCGTGGAGACTCGACGCCGCCATCATTTCGAGCACGTTTCTCACACCCCTGCTAAAACCATGCCAGGGAGTGTAAGGAGACTGTCTGCGAGGTGAAGGCCAGGTCTTCTGTGGTTCCGATACCCCTCGTGCTCCTGGCCTCAAGTACTTCATTGCAGACTGGTGTGCTCCGCTGGAGACCGTGCAGCAGCACGAGGCTCTGGGCATGCTGACTCTTGCCGAAGAGATCGAGCCTGTATAGGCATCAATGTGGACTGCCTTTATAGGTGTAGCGAACAGGTTGCGGGCCAGCCGCGCCAGAAGCAATTTTTTTTTTTCCGACTTGCAGTGTTTATTCCCAGCTGCACTATCATAGATGCGTCGCAGGCCATAACATGAGTCTTCCAATAATCCTGATCTCGCGCAGTTCCCTGCTCGTCCGCATATGAAACGTGAAACGGCTGGCCAACCCAGGCTTTTTCAACTATTGGTACTGCGAGGTCTCGCTCCAAACCGTGGTGTGATGCGCTAGAGGCCATGTACTCCTTTTGCCCGCCGAGCGAGGCTCTCGGCAGTGCTACTTCTGCGCTGGACATCGAGCCTGTATCTGTGCACACTGCCTTTGACAAGAGAGACCAGACTGTCTGGGAAGGGGCGAGCCGAAAGCATTTCCGTTGAGGTCTTGCCTCACTTTCCACAAGTATTAGGGCCGTGCAGACGAGGGTATGCTTTTTGAACATGCCTGGACCACACGATAACAAATTTGTGCACGAACAACAAACCCAATCCAATCGGATTTGAGAACTCGCATGCTAAGTTGCGGAAGTTTGCGTCCACGTTCCAAATGAAGGCGCTGCGGTGGACTTCAGCATGCGAGGTCAGTCTGCCGGCTCCGCAGGCAGTGCAGAGCCCAGTATGCTGCCTGGACCCATCCGCGCCCGACGACGCAGAGGCATGTCAGCTCGGAGCTCTTGGACTTTGCCACTTTGCTTGTGGTTTGCTGGGCTTTGCATGGCTGAAGCATAGATAGAGCATCGTGAGCTGATCTTCGTGCAGTTTGAATCCTGTGCAATGGAAGCGCAGGAACAGCGTAATAGCAACTTCAAGATAATTCACGGCCAAGTTTTGTAATGGCATGAGGACGACCCGGTCTCCATGGCGTGTCCAGCGTGCCCAGCGTGCCCGGCATGCCGCCGCCGTCGACTCGGAGCTGAGCCGCTTGCGCTGGGCTGAGCAGCCCAGGTTCCCTTCCGCTGACTGTGTCCGGCGGCTGTTTGCCAGGGTCTCTTGCAGGTCTGGACCCTCCAAAGGGTCGTGCAACCAGCAGGTCGAGTGGCTGCTGCTAGCATGCTGTGCCCGCCTGCTTTACCGCAGGCATGACAGCACCATCGCCTCATGAACACAGAGTTGCAAAATGGTCCAATCGGATGACAGACTTCTAGGCTAGACTGTCTCAGGCCAGATATTGGAAGGGCGCAGCTCAGAGCACAGTGGGGGCCGTGCGCCCCGCGGCACATGGCAATACCGCAAGGCATATTTCACCACTTGCGCTCCCAGTGACAAATGTGGGAGGGGGACAGGGTGTGGCCTGAGTCGTCGAGGCAGGTCGCCAAGCTTGTATTGCCCATGTCGCAACTATCGGCCATCTTTTGTATTTCGTGTCGGAGGGCGTAGGCTCAACTAGAAGCGACTGCAGCTGCAGTTCGGTCTCAGGCATGTTCCAAAAGCAAACTTCACAATTTGAGCTGCACTAAACCAAGCTCAGAAACATCTTCCACTCAGTTCAGTTCGGAAGTTGACCAGACATAGTCTGGCAGAGACCATCAAGTCTGAGGCTCCCAGAAGTAGTCCGGATTGGTGCCGGTGTTAAGTCACAAGTGAAGTGCGGATCTGGTTTAGCTCTGTGATAGGATAGGGTCCGCATGCGACCAGACCACGTAAGCTCGCCTAGGGCAATCCTGCTTCACATGAAACATGCGCGGAACAAAGACTGTGATTCCTTTGAAACGCTCCCCATGACAAGCTGGGTGGAGGAGGGAGAGGACCTCGCCTGAGTCGTCTCAGCAGGTCATGGCACGAGTGAAGCCCATGACGGCACTAGCGGTGCCCATGCTAGGCAAGCTTCTCCTAGCACAAGCCGCATGGTGTCGTGGCTCCGTGAGCACTGCAAGCGCGTTGCAGAGTGCTTGCCGTGGACGCTTGCTCGTGCACATGTGCTGTTCTGCAGTGCCCTTCTTGGAGAGCGTGTGATTAGATTTTGGGCTGAGGGTTTTAGGGCTTTTCAGCATTGGCTGGGGGGAGGCTGAGTGGCCATGCTTTGCGCCCGTGCTGTTGAGTGCGGCGGGCGCCTGCCCTTGCACAGTCTCCTTGGGGTGCTTCGAGATTAAGCCGTGTAAGCTTTGGAGGAGGCCTCCCGAGGCTGGCTGGCCCTCTGAGATCTGTCAGGCAATTGAGGTCTCACGTCCGCAGGCATGCCAGTGAGGCCAGTCCAGGCTGCTCGTGCAGCCGTTTACATTTGGCGTGCCGGCTCGCACAGGCGTAAGAAGTGGAAGCGGCTGTGCCTAAGTGCAGGCTCTATGCCACGTGGAAGCGTATCGTAGGCCTGCGCAGGCCCATGAAGACAAACCGCCCACAAAACCAAAAGCAACAATGCTCAGCTACAGTTGCAGTTGGAACACTTTGCTTGGAGTGGAGAGAGGTGCCGAGTACTAGCAGAGGTTTGCATGATGTGGCGTGAGCTTTGCAGACGGCCTGCAGAGTGCACTCCATGCAGAAAGCTGCCATGTTGGTGTGGTCAACTGCTGGCGAAGAACAGGCATTTTGTGTAAGTGCCTGAGGCAGCCCTGAGGCAGCCTGGATGGGCACCTGTCCAGCAGGACTTCAGGTGTTACTGCCTCATGGCCATGGAGGTGGGACGTGTGTTCAGGCTTGACTGGTGTGAAGAAAGTGTGGCACTTATCTCAGGATCTGTTTGGTCCATGTTTTCTTTGGCGCGCAACAAGACTCATCAAGCTTGGCCTGGTGCTGGGATGGGTTCCCAACTGTTTGGGATCATTCCCGAATATGGATTCTGATCCAGTTTTGGGACAAGCCTGAGCTGTCTTGACATTTCAACCTTTGTTGGCCTTCACATACAGGCACTCTAGCTACTCTAGCTCAGGTTGCCTATGCCTGTCACATGGTGCCTGTTTTCATTTCTTGGCGAGCGCAGGGAAACCGGATGCACGTCACTGCAGCGGCGCATCTGGCAAGCCTGGGAACAGAGTTCAACTGTCTGCACAGACGCAGAGAGTCCCATGGTTGCAGAGCATGCTGCAGGCTATTTGTGTTGAGGGTCCACTCGTGAGCGCCAGCAGCATTGTAGGAGATTGTGGGGTTTAGACCAACAGTGCCTCTGCAGTGCTTGTGCAGAGGGCTTGTGCTAAAAGATACACTCTTTGGCAGCCTGCAGGCAAGCTTGCGGTGAAGACAACTTCTCCAGCATGAGCGTATGCGTCAGGGTTCGCATGCCGATTGTGCAGAAGCCGATTGCCTGCTCACTCGGGATAGCTGATCGCAAGGCAGCGGCACGGCTGGCCGAGTCTGACTGTGCATTGAATCATTGAAGACTGCCCGGCATACTCCGTGGCCAGGATATGGTGTTCGCCCAGAATCCAGGCAAAGCCACCTGGGCCTAGCTTGAGATATCATCCCCAAGGTGGTGCGCACGCTTGAGCCTGAACAGTTTCGGGTGGAATAACCCGGTTCAGCCAGAAGCTTTAGGAAGGGAATCAGCCACCACGCGCGGCATATGCTGGACAGCAGATGAAGCGCCGGACTAGATCTAGATGGCACACTGGCTTCAATCTTGGGTCCAGAGCCGCGACAGTAGAGTGTTGCTTGGAATTGTGTTCATGACGCTCCAGAAACTTGCGTTCAAGCTTCCGCCACAGACTCAGCAACACGCCTGCATCCATGAGCCCAGGAGCTACAAGATGCGGCGCGGCGCCAACCGAAAGTCGCTGGCATGACTACGAGCTAGCTGTTCAGCTTTGAAGAGCCTACAGATGTGTGCATTTGGTGGGTGTACTCAGTGTACTTGCCTCATTGAGCTGCTTTTGTGCCTGTCATCGCAGAGATGGCTTGAGAAAGCCTGTGTTCCAATTTTTGAAGACGCTCGTTCATAGCTTGGTAGCATCAACTTTAGCCTGAACCCATAAACGTGCGCAAACCGTAGCTCAGGCGTCCTTATGCTCTTCGACGCAAAACGTGGTGCCCGAACGAAGAGTCCAGGAAGAGTGAGAACCCCGCTCGTGTGAGGTAGCATCCGCCCCAGTGCCAAAACAAAATTTTCGAGCACACGCTAGGTTAAGACCCTTAAAATCTTTTGCTGCTCGGGGTCTATGGTAAAACGTGTTGAGCGTGAGCACTTGTTAGGCACTAGGAGACCCTGTCGAGAAAGACAAGTGCGAGCATCGGGCCCCGTGCGCCTCACTGAGTCCGAGACCCTGACTGCAAGCTCTCCCTTGCCGCAGCGTGAGGCTCCGCTGAGGCTTGCAGGCTTGCAGCGGTCACCTTTCTCTCCGTGTAGATGTCGCAAGCTACCTCTGATTTGCAGGCAGAACGGCGCAGTCAGCACGGCACTTTCCCGAATCATGTGGCGGGTCTCAGTCCAGTCAAAAGGTGCAGGGGGTCATTGACGCATCGACGTCTGTCTTGAGGCTGGCACGTTGTAGGTTTTCTCTACGGCGTCTGTGAAACGAGCGCAGAGATGGCAAGTGTGCCATTTGTCAGCCCCTCCTTCCAGACAGAGCTAATGTCACCGATAACTCCGACAACTGTCACTATTGCTACTGGGTGCCGTGTTAGCAAGGCTGTGGCCAGGATGCGGTTGCATGGCTGGAAGGGCCTGGAACTCGTGCAGATAACAAGAAGATCAGGTTGGTGCAAGGTGGAGGGTGGCCCCCATGCCTTTTTGCCCACTCGCATGCCGTTGTAATGGCATGCAGCGAGGCCAGAAGCAGCGCGCGGCCGTGGAACCCCAAACATTTTAGACACTTTAAATCCCAAGCCTGCAGCCTTAACTTTCGGTTGGGGTGTCGGTATTCCGTCGCCTACTGTACGCGATTAAAGATTGATTAAGTCAGTATTCACCGCAGTTGACTTCACTTCATTTTCTTTGCTTTCAAACTTCATTTTGGCACGCACAGTGACAGCAGGGCTTCTGGCGTTTTTCAAAAGTTTCAAGGGCTCCCACAAGAGTCACAGGCCCTTGTGCTGTGCAGCCATGAGATGTTGTGTGTTATAGTACGCAAACCAAGTCTGTCGCGCTCACGAGGCCCAGGACATGCTTCTCGCAGATCCGGCAGCTTGTAGGGCCTGCAAACCAATGGAGTGGCAGAAGGCAAAGAACTTTCTCGTGACTACACACCTCCAGCAGCCCTCCAAACACGCATATCTGCAATTGAGGTGTATGCTATATGAACATTCCAGCTGGCCAGCGGCCTCGTGGCGGCCGGAAGCAGACGGCGCGAGGGCAGCCGGCTGCCTGGCCATTTCGGCTGACATTGACACTCCCAGCGCTGCTTGCCAGCAGCTTGCCCGCCGTGCCTTTTGGGGGCCAGGCCGAGCACGTCCACCGTGTGAGCGCCCAAACTGCCATTTGCTCCTAAGCCTGGGGCCCCTACCCTTCCCAGGCCAAGGCGCCGCATGGCTCCGCTCATCTCCGGTTTTGCGAGGGGCTAGGGCAGCGTGCCTCTTACGATTTTCTTGGCTCCTGGTCTGAAAGATGACGCTGGGCTGTCAGCCCGGCTGCAGCCGTCACCGTTTGCGGAGACTTCGGTGAGTTGTGTTGAAGAGGCAGGGAAGCAAACTACATTGAAGTATCCCTGCTCCTCGTGGCTTGTCCCCCGCGTACAGTGAAGCCACACTTCGTGTGCCATCCAAACGAGTTCGTGCGCTTGATAAATGAGAGAGTGCCACGCAAGGTTCTAAAGGCGAAGGCTTGAGGAGGTTCTCCCGGCCGTGGTTGTTTGCTACATTTGCTACCTCGTTTTGCTTGGGCTTCTGATGGTTTGCGCAGGCCACAGGATCCAGGACGATTTCGTGCCGAACGCGGACCTGAGGCGGGCCGTGCTGTCTGCTCCCCCGGCCCGTCCTCAGCAATGCAAGACGGCTTGCTGAGACTCAGCAGACATTGCTGAGCGATGCTTCCCTGGTCAGCAGTCTGGCGACAAATCGCAACCCGCACTATCACTAACACGTTTATGCCGCTGTTTCGGCACTTTCGGCACCTCGGCTACAGCATGCAGCGCTTCGTGGCAGTCTGGGAGGGTGCGGCTGGCGAAGTGCGCCGCTATACGGAAGCTACGGCAGTAAAACGCCATCTAGTCGATATCGCTTTCAGACAGTTGTGATAGATTCTGACAGGAAGTGTCCTTAGAAGGGGCGTGACCGACCTTCGCTGCATTCTCACTCCGGCAGGCCGCAGCAAAAAATCGAAGCAGGGGGAGTGTCTAGTCCGGGTTGAAGTGCGTTGCGGCTTCGGCTAGCTTCCAGCTTTAGATGTGATAGCTGATGGAGCTATAGCATGCGATAGCCAATGTAGCTACGGACTTATGTGCGTAATGCGAGTGGATGTGCTTGGATCGCACTCTCAGGAAAGGATGGGAGAGAAGCAGCATACTTGCGGTTGTCTTCGGCTTACAGTCAAACTTTTCTCTTTGATTACCGAGCTGGAGGATTTCCTCCAAGCAGCATTTGGTAATCATGCTTTGCATCTTCGTGATGCTGTGGGCTGCGGCTCTGGGAGAGGAGACGTGTGCTTCTGGCAGGTCCCTACTTCAGAAGAGCCTTGCGAAGGGCGAGTACAATGAGACTCTTCAGCCCAGCTCAGAGCCTGCTCCCGTTGAACCACACCAATGAGTCGCAGATGCAGGTGGCACTGGTGCAGCGCTCCGAAGGCCGTGGCCGCGGCGCACGCCAATCCTCGGAGGAGCTAGATGCGGTGGTGTCCAGCAAGTTCTTCGACGACATCGCAGATGGTTTCGAGTCCATTGGCCAGGGCATCGCGGATGTGGGCATGACGGTTGGTAGCGCCGTGGGCAATGCAGCTGTGGTGGTGGGCAACTCCGTGGTAGAGACAGCGGAAACTGCGGTGGACGCCCTGCCATCGGAGACTGAGCGGCATAATTGCACTTTTGTCACGGAGTAATGCTGCAAGATTTGATGCACGTAATACTGTAGTTAGGGAAGACGGATGATGATCCATTTCGCTGTCCTCACTTCAGGAGCTCAAAGATGCGGCGAATTCCTTGGGGAACGCTGTGGTCACAGCCGCGGAGGCCGTCGGGGATGTGGGGGAGATGGTGGTGGACGCATACGTGGACTTGGCGGATGCTGCCCTCTCGGCCGCGGAGCATGCAGCCGAGCAGGCCGCCAAAGTGGGAAGTGCCCTGGGGAACAAGATCGCGGATGCAGCTCATGCCATTAGAGAAGGCATTGAAAAAATTGAAAAAGTCGGCGCCATGGCCGTTGGTTTTGCTAGGGCGGCGTGGGAAGCGATCAAGGACTGGATCAATTGTTTGGTGAATTTCATGGATAACTTCATGTGCAGGGTCTTGATCGGTGATCAGTGCGACTGCGATGCTGGCAATGGTTTGGATATCTCTGGCGGTGGTCTCTCGCTGACGTGTAGGCGGATCCGCAGGCAGATCTAGTTTCTTCGAGAGTTGAAGTTTGTTGCCGCTAGGGCCCTAAACCCTAAACCCTAAAACCAAACCCGGGCTTTGCAATCGACCGCGCTCCTGAGGCCTGTGCTAACAAATTGCAAGTGCAGTGGACGCCCATTCGAGTTTCAAGCATGCTTGTTTGGAATTGCAGCATGCTATGTGGCTGAAATCAGCACATTTGGGCTAGGTTTTGATTCCGGTGCGACGGTTGCGCAGTGCAGGTATGTTTGTCTGGAATTGCAACATACGATGTGGCCGAAATCTGCGCATTTTGGCAAGGTTCTGATTCCGGTGCAACGGTTGCCCAGCGAGCTGAGGTGATAGAATATGGAAGTTGAGCCAGTGAGCACAAAAAGGCTTGTTGGAGATCTCGAGTTTGAGTTTTGTACCTCATGTATACTGGCTAAATAACATGCAGCTGCCTATGCCGTGTTTAGGCAAGATAAGGGTGTTTACGCGCAGGTGCTTGGTACTGTTTTGGGGTTTCGCGGTAAATACCATGATGCATTGGCGTTATCTCTTCGAACGTGCTGTGGCCATAATTGTGGCTGGAATTCCACGAAGCGGCTTCCTTTGTCATATTGTCTTCGAAGGCTTTTGCTATCATTTTTTAAAGTAGTCTATGTGTCTTAACATAGGAGCTATGGGTATCTGTCCGCGTGTAGGGTAATGGTGGAAGGTGTAGGGTGTAGGGCGCACAGATTCGACTTTATCTTAGACGGTGCGAGGTTCACCGCTTGTCCTTAGCCAGTACTGTATCTTCAAAGTGTGTTCGCCTGCAATAGACGGGGACCCCCAGCACTGCTGCACACATGGACCGAACCCTGAACCCTAAACCCTAAAACCCTATGGCTACAAGCATTTGGCTTACAGCGTCTTGCAGGCTCCTGTGACTGAACGCGTAGGGGTCTTCGGTTGTCGGTTGGTCGGGGTTGTGTCCGTCTCTCTCGCCGTCTTCTCGACTTCTGCCCTGAGTTGTGAACCCCCGACACGAAATACCCTGAAGGGATAGGCAGCAACGACTGAAGCGCTACCTCGGACGAACAACCCTACCTCCACCGCTGCTGCTGCTTCCCAGGCGACCACCATCCCAGAGGTTGTAGCCGCGCCGGATAGGTATGGCGCTCTATACCAACCCCACCTTTGTTGTCAAGGATTCTACACACTTAATGCAAGGCTTGGTTCTCCATATTTATTCAGCTTCGTCCTACCCCATTTCTTTCATGATATTGATTGAATTTGGACTACTTTGGAAAAAATTCTGACGTATTCCATATCCCCGTTCCTCTTTGGGAGCGGACGACACGGTTCTTTTATTTTGCTTTGTGGAGGCAAATGAATCGCCTTTTACACGCGGTCAAATTTCAAGGACATAAGAAGCCTTCTACTGAACGAAGATAAATATGAATTGAACACTTAAGACTTCACCCGACCCAACGTATTTACTATGCCCCACAAGCTACTGAGCTATGCGGACACAGGTATTATGACGGTATACACTATCTCCTTAATCCAATTCCTCTTTTAGAGATTGCTCCACTAAATCGCAAAAAAATTTCCTATCGAGTGTCACAGGCAGTCATTGGATATATATATATACTTTCTCCTCCGCACCGCCATATACGGGCACCCAACCGCCCAACTCGACTAAAAATACATTGGACCGAATCGTATATAACCCAAGGAATCTATCGCTTAGATCATTTAATATCAAATCAAATTCCCTTCCCACGACCATATTCACCATGAATTCTTTGCGATTCCCTCCTTTCAACAAGTACGACATGCTCATAAGGCCTCAGGAGTGGTATAGATAGACAGTACCTCTTTATTCCGACAAGTCCATCCCAAGTACCAAGATCGCCAACACTATAAATTAATCGTACAGAAACCTAAGAGGCATCATAAACGCTAATTTAGACCACCCGTAAATGAATTAGGATAGGTCGGCACTAATAAACTCGCTCGGAGAATCTCGTACGTTCAGAAAAAAATAACTTTAAATAAAGAATTAGCCTAAATCTAATATAAAAATATGCAATAGCCAGCCGATTTAAATCCAATGCAAAGATTAATTTATATTCTAATATAAAGAAAAATAAAAAAAGATAAAAAAGAAAACAATCTACAATTTTTTTTCTAACATAAATCATATATTTATCCCATATATAATCTCATAAAATAAAAAAATATTCCAACACCTTTGAATTCTGAACTACAAAATCCTTCTTCCGCCACAAACGCAATGATTGTCTTTCTTTCAAGAATTTCAGGCCCTGAACCAGAACCCCCTCAAAATGGGGCGGAGAATCAAAACATAATGGAAGGGATCAAAAAGTACTTATTTATTCCTTTTGGGCACCTTTAAATAATTATTTTCTGATCCCCTTAATTATTTGTGGACCCCTTTCCCCTGCAAATGGGGGGTCCTCCGGCACTGCCAGGTGCGCGTCCTCTGGCACCGGGGCTGCGTCCCCAGACTCCAGCGGAGCTCCTGGAGCAAAGTGTCAACCTTTAGGTTCTGTCTTGCGAAGGTTTAGAGTTTAGGGTTTAGAGTTTAGGGTTTAAGTGTGATCCCTTTGGGGGTTAGGGCCTGAGGATCGCTTTTCCATTGTAGGGTTTAGGGCTTTAGGTGTCTGCATCTGGCGTGTTGAGTTGCGCTTCAGTTTTGTTGGCGGCGTTTGAGTTTTGTGGTGGGCGCGTTTATGGTTCGCCTTTGAAATGGTTGAAAGGGGGGCTTTAGGGGGTTCACGAGTGAAGGGGTTTGGGGTTTTAGGCGGGGTGGGTATTTAGGAGTCTAGGGCGTCTGGCGGGGGGGGGGGTGGGTAGGGATCGAGAGGCCTACTGGTTGGGGGTGTAAGGGTGAGGTGTGTAAGATTCACGGTTTAGCGTTTAGGACGTGGGGCCTGCTCTAAGCAGAGTTGAGGGGTTGGGAGTGGAGTGGTTTAGGAGTCATGCAGGGTTGAGGGTCTAGAGGTGACGCAGCCCGCCTAACTAACAACCCTTCACAAGCGCCTCCATAACTAAAGCCGTTCATCCTGCGCGACAAAATGGAGTCCACCGGATGCAACTATACAACGATCATGGATTGGGCAAGTGCCCCTGCCCGGCGGTACGACCGAGGCCATGAGAGTCACGCCCCCATGTCACAACAGATCCGTCGGCAAGAATGGCAGCAAAAGCATTCCCACTGGATTGCACATGTTGTACATTCTTCAACTGCTGCTGCACAGCGCTGCTGTCACCACCAGATTTTGGGTTGCCCCATGTCACGATGGAACCATCGGCCAGAATCGCAGCAAATGCACCCTCAGTGGCTTGTACATGTTGCACATTTTGCAACTGCTCCTGCACGGCGCGACAGTCGCCGCCATATGCTCTGTGGCCCCATGTCACAACAGATCCATTGGCAAGAATGGCAGCAAATGCATTCTGACTAGCTTGCACGTGCTGCACGTTCTTCAAAAGCTCCTGCACACTGCTGCTATGGCCGCCATAATTTTTGTCGCCCCATGTCACAACAGATCCACCAGCCCGAATGGCGGCAAATGCACGCCAATGAGCTTGAACGTGTTGCACATTGTTCAATTGCTCTTTCACAGCACTACTGTCGCCACCAGATTCGGCGTCGCCCCATGTCACAACAGATCCATCGGCAAGGATGGCCGCGAACGCGTGCCGAGTAGCTTGCAATTGTTTCACATTCTTCAACTGCTCCTGCACAGCACTACTGTCGCCGCCGCAAAGCGGCTCGCCCCAGGCCACGACGGATCCATCGACAAGAATGGCAGCAAATGCTTGGAAGCTAGCTTGAACTTGCTGCACATTTTTCAACTGCTCCTGCACGGCTCTACAATCGCCACCATGCCCTGCGTCCCCCCATGACACAACGGATCCGTCGGCCAGAATAGCAGCAAACGCTTTATGAGAAGCTTGCAATGCTTGAACATTGGTCAGCTGCTGCTGCACAGCGCTACAGTCGCCGCCGAATTCTCTCTGGCCCCATGTCACAACGGATCCATTAGCCAGAATGGCAGCAAACGCGTGCCAAGTAGAATGCACATGTTGCACATTCTTCAACTGCTCCTGCACAGCGCTGCTGTCACCACCAGATTTGGCGTCGCCCCATGTCACAACAGATCCATCGGCAAGTATAGCAGCAAACGCATTTCGATTTGATCGCACTTGTTCCACATCCTTCAGCTGCTGATGCACGTCGCTACTGTCGCCGCCAAATTCTGCGTGGCCCCACGTCATGATGGATCCATCACCGCCGAGGCGAGCGAAGCTACGATGGCTGGACGCCATTGGTGAAACTGTTGCATACAGCGTCAGTACGCCCTCGCGGCATGCGTCGGTCCGACCAATTTGCTCTGACCCACGTAGAACAACCCCAGACGAGCTCAAAAGGACCCCCCTTTCGATGCCAAATTCTCTCTGCGCAACTCTCCGGAGATCACTCAACGTGGCGTCGGAGTCGAGCCTCAATCTTTTGCTGGCTCCACTTATGCTGGCCACCTCAACCTCCATTGCCTTGATAATTCCATGGCGCATTGCAATACATGGTCTTACTGTAAAACCTTCCCGGGCACGTCAAACTGGCTTTACAGTAGATGGTCTTCAAACACTCCGTTGAGTTTACCATTGAAAAAGGCCATCTCTGAAGTCGTTCAAACAGTGAGAACAACCAACCCAAACAGCGCAGAAGTCACGCGCATTGCCTGGATAAGTTCACGAGCTTGGTCCAAAGGTACAAGGAAGAACCGTGCAGTTCGTCCCAAAAGGTTAGGAACCTGGCTCCAAGATCCCCCTGACCAAGTCCAGGTTTCTTTGAAGTAACACCCTAACCCCTACACCCTAAACCCTACACCCTAAGCCCTAAACCCCAAAGCCTAAACGTTAGACCCTAAACCCTAAACCCCACGTGGAGCTGATGTAGGGGTCTCAGTCTCCGCTTAGACCTGACGTAGGGTTGGGCGCTGCGGGGGTCTCCGCGCATGTATCCTCCTGAAAACTAGGGAGTAACTAGGGTTTAGGGTTCAGGGTTTAGGGTTTAGGGTTGAGGGTTCAGGGTTCAGGGTTTAGGGTTTAGGGTTTACGCCCTCTTCAATTTGGAGAAGCCCTCAATGCCAAGAGCACAGGGGGGTTCCAGTAGAAATGAGCTCTGCTTCGGTTTGCCCTGCACATTCGTAATCCCTAAACCTTAAATGCTAAAGCTCAAAGCCTAAACCGTACCCCTAGACCTGGAACCTTCAACCCTAAACCCTAAACCCTCAACCCCTGAACCCTAAACCCTCAACCCTAAACCCCTGAACCCCTGAACCCCTGAACCCCTGAACCCTTGAACCCTAAACCCTAAACCCCTAAACCCTAAACCCTAAACCCTCAACCCTAAACCCTACCTCTTTTTGCAGTGCGTGGTCCTGTAGTCCCAGCTGCATCTGCCGCCATGGCAAGACGATGTACACAGTGAAAATGTCTGCAAACGCCTTGGACCTCTGCATTCATTACTTTAGTTAGGTTCCTTATGTGTCTGTTGTTGTTGTTGTTGTTGTTCTTGTTGTTGTGGTGTTGGTAGTGGTGGTTGCTGCTGTTGCTGCTGCTGCTGCTGCTGTTGTTGTTGATGTTGTTGTTCTTGTTGTTGTTGTTGTTGTTGTTGTTGCTGCTGTTGCTGTTGTTGTTGTTGCTATTGCTGCTGCCGCAGGTGTTGTTGTTGTTGTTGTTGTTGCTACTGCTGCTGCTGCAGGTGTTGTTGTTGTTGCTGCTGCTGCTGCTGTTGTTGTTGCTGTTGTTGTTGTTGTTGTTCTTGTTGTTATTCTTGTTCTTGTTCTTGTTCTTGTTCTTGTTCTTGTTCTTGTTCTTGTTCTTGTTCTTGTTGTTGTTGTTGTTGTTGTTGTTGTTGTTGTTGTTTTTGCAGTTGCTGTTGTTGTTGTTGTTGTTCTTGTTGTTGTTCTTGTTCGTGTTCTTGTTCTTGTTCTTGTTCTTGTTCTAGTTGTTGTTCTTGTTCTTGTTCTTGTTCTTATTCTTGTTCTTGTTCTTGTTCTTGTTCTTGTTCTTGTTCTTGTTAGTGTTCTTGTTGTTGTTGTTGTTGTTGTTGTTGTTCTTGTTGTTGTGGTGTTGGTAGTGGTGGTTGCTGCTGTTGCTGCTGCTGCTGCTGTTGTTGTTGTTGATGTTGTTGATGTTGTTGTTGTTGTTGTTGTTGTTGTTGTTGTTGTTGTTTTTGCAGTTGATGTTGTTGTTGTTGCTGCTGCTGCTGCTGTTGCTGCTGTTGCTCTGGAAGAAGCAGCCGAAACTTAAAAATGCTGCACCTTCCACCACGTGAATCTTGCAAGGATGAAAGCGTACAACCTGGTTTGTCCAATGACATGTCTGTAAACCTTTATCGAAAGCTTGGCAACAGCATGAGGGATCGTACCACCCAAAGTTTGAGCCTGAAACGAGGATCCGGGGATGGCCAAGACGGCTCCTATGCCTGACCTGGGGACGGGTTCACACGAACCATCTGTGAAATTTCACAAGGCAAAGTTGTCATGCGCCTAGGCAAGGCACCACGCATACGGTTCCGAAGGAAATCCATTGCGTCACGTCGCGTTTGATCAAGATGCACTAGCGGCTCTTGGCAACGTTCCAAGTCACGCAAATCTG